TGTATGTGTGTGTATGTGTGTGTGTATGTGTGTGTATGTGTGTGTGTGTGTGATGTTGGTGTGTGTGTGTGTGTATGTGTGTGTGTGTATGTGTGTGTGTGTATGTGTGTGTGTGTGTGTGTGTGTGTGATGTTGGTGTGTATGCATGCATGTTTTCCATAAACAACGGCACATTTGTGTAAGTGCATGTGCACCGCATGTGTGCTCATACATGTGGAGGCCCAAAGAGTGATATCAGGAATTATTCTCTTTCACGTTTTCATCTTATTCACTGAGGCAGGATCTCTCAATCAAACTCAGAGCACATCAATACGGTTACTCCTGCTAGGTAGGCTGCCCTGAAGATCTCCGGTATCCACCTTTCAAAGCTAAAACTGTAGGCATATCACCAACCATCCCTGGCATTTATATGGGTTCTGGAGATCTAAACCCAGTCCTCCTGTCACAGAACAACACAACAGGTTCCATAACCATTGAGAAATCAACCCCCCACACACACACACACACCATTCTCATTTTTAAAAGCCATCTTAGCCAGTTGTTTATCCTCCAACTTCTCCCTCAACCAAGAATAAGAACCTCCACGAAGCCATTTAAAAGTATAAAACACCATCTGTGCCCGTAAGGTGCTTGTTTTTGTTTGGTTTTTTCTGCTTAGGGCTTTAATAGGATTAGCACTGCTTTCCAGACTTCTTCTGGCTGGGGTCTGGTTCCCATATGGATGTCAAGGCAGAAGCAGTCTGGGGTCAAGGGGGACAAGTCTGGAAAGTTCCACAGTGGGGCCTCAGAGGCGTGCTTCAGGAAAGTGAGCCACCTGGAGCCCGGGAACAGAGTGCCAGCTTCTCCACTCAGAAGTGTCTCTTCAGCTGCACAGCTTAGCAAAGGCAGTAGATACAGTCACCGGTGGAGGAACCACACCGGCTGTTACAAAACAACAACAACAAACAAACAAACAACAAAACAAAACCAACAACCTGGCAGTGGTGGCACACATCTTTAATACCAGCACTTGGGAGGCAGAGGCAAGTGAATTTCTGTGAGTTTGAGGCCAGCATGGTCTACGAAGAGAGTTCCAGGACAGCCAGGACTACACAGAGAAACCCTGTCTCGAAAAAAAAAAAAAACTAGAAATGTTTGGAAATATGGTAACCTATTTGAATTTGAAATCGTACTGTTCTGGAACATTTCTTCAAACTACTGGCAAAACGCTAACCCATACTCTATGTATAACAATATCCCAAAGCCAGGTAGCATTTTTTATGTCCGTGTGCTGTCTGCCTTTAGCTTGGGATGATTATAATACTCTGTGTACTGTAATAAGAATTAGCCTTTAACAGTGTCTGGCACACAGTAAAAGGCCAGCAAGTTCTTTACATTATAGTTGACTTCATGACTCATATCTCACTAAGTATTGTTATATGTGTAAGGGGCCTCGGAGTCAACGCAGAACACACCCAGACACCAAATTCTTGTCACAAAGAAGATTTATACACTTCAGAGGCAAGTTGGAGGGGGGCACCTCTGGATCTGCAGAGCCAGAAAGTGGTTTTAAGGAAAAAGGGGGAAGTCTGTTAGGGTAAATTAATAAGTCCTGGTTGGACAGGTTAGCCAGTGTAGTCCAACAATGAATTTTAATTGCTGGACCACGGTGTTTTAATAGTTGGACCTTGGAGTTCAGTCTCAGGCAAAAATCAGGAGCCAAATAAGGGAATGGACTGTGGGGGCTAGCTTTAGGAATGTAATCTAATGGTTGAGCAAGTAAGGGGAAAGGGGAAAGGGGCAAACCTGTTGGCACCATGAATGCCATGTTTGGGCCTGTTAGAGAGCCCTTCGATATTTGTTTTGTTTTGTTGCTGAGATAAAACACCATGATCAAAGGAGAGTTTATTTGGGCTCACGGTTCCAGAGGGAGAGTCCACAATGGTGAAAGAACACAGTAAGCTAAGAGATCGCATCTTCACCCACAAACGCAGAGAACTGGAAGTGGGGTGAGGCTATAAGCACTGAAAGGTCACCTCTAGTGATGTACTTCCTCCAGCCTCCACCTCCCAAAGATTCTACAACCTCCCCCCCAAAAACATCACCAGCCAGATACCAGAAAATGTTCAAATCTGTGAACCTAGGAGGGGCATTTCTCATTAAAGCCATTACAGTTTGCAACAGTTCCCCTAATCTTGGTCTGGAATTGGCATTGCTATTTCCTCCACAGTGCGGTATAATACAACAGCACAAACACAGGGAGAAGAACAGAGCCCTTGGAACTTCACTGGAGGTGGAGGTGCTAGGACGCTTTATGAATAAAATTCAGAAACCTATTTTCTTATTCAATCCTCTTCCCAGGGATATTGCTGCTAGAAACTGTCTTCTGACCTGTCCAGGAGCTGGAAGAATAGCAAAGATCGGAGACTTTGGGATGGCCCGAGACATCTACAGGTGAGACAATTCCCTTGCTCCACCAAGGCCTTCCCCCGCCATCCAGTCTCCTCAAACAGATGCCTATGCTGGCTTGCACCTTACATCATCTGGTACCTTGTCAACCTCCCACATGGACGTCCAATGAGTGTCTTCCAAGATATAAGAACCTCTGATTAGTGCCCAGTCTAATCTCGGCAGCTCTTGATAACATGTTTCATTTGGCTTATCTCTCTGGCTCCAACTCTCTCATCCTGCCGAGTTCTAACAGAATAACATGGACACTCGATGTGTGACAAGCTATGAAGTGGCCTTTACCTCTTACTCAACCCCTGCCCTCAACACTCAAAAATTCTAAATAATTGCAGTGGCGTTCATCATCGCAGACACAAGCTCCCCGGATGAACAGGGTCCTGGGCCTTGCCAAAACTCAGAGACATAGAAATATAGTTCAAACCGCAAAAGTCCCTCATTCAGCTTCATTGGTTTTTATTTTCTCTATTACATTCTCAAGACTATGTAAAAATTACCAACGAAGGAACGATGATGTAGCATAGTGGTAGAGTACTTGTCATGCACATATGAGGGCCAATCTTGGTCCTCAACACTATAAATAATGATAACGATAGTATTAGATAAAGGGTTTTTGTTATAAAATGTAGTGGTTTTGTTGCACTTTATTTCCCAACATGTAGTTTCTTGTTTTTCTAATTATTGACAACTCTGCCTTGCTAGACAAGATGAGCAAACTGTTGCTTTACATGGTCACTCATTGGTCCCTTCCCTAATGCTCAGAACCTAGGAACATGGTTACATAGCACTTTCATTATCTGAGGAATGAGGACAAACATCTGGAAACTCCAGAGGACTTGGGTGAGAATCAATAGGCATCTCCAGGGGCCAGGAACATCAGTTCTGTGCTGAGACCTTAAGGCCACAGAGTATGGAGGGCAGAATCAGTGACAGATTCTTTGGAGTCATCCACTGCTGCCGTCTTCACATGGCTTTCCCATCTTAGCTATTTTCTCATCTCTGTGATCAAATACCCTGACAGAAGCAACTCAGGGATGAAAGGGTTTATTCAGTTCTCAGCTCAAGGGTGCAGTCCATCATGGTAGGGAAACCAAGGCAGAAGGGGCTTGGAGCAGCTGGCCACACCACGCCCACAATCAGGAAGCAGAGAGAGATGAATGCATGCTCAACTTGCTTTCTTCTTTTTGTTTTCAGTGCAGAACCCAAGTTCAGATATGATGCCATCCTCCTCTAGGGTTGGTCTTCCCACCTCACTTAACCTACTCAAGATAATCCCCCACAGGCTTACTCATCATCCGGGTGACCCTGGAGTCTAGGAAGCTGAGAATCAGCATTAATGATCACAGCCTCTGAGTCTCTGCACACCTCCCTGTACTTTCTCAGAACACTGGGACTGCTTCGAGTTTCAAATAGAGCAGTATAGCGTGTTGTCCAGCTGGTCATCCTTTATTGGGGCTTCCTCTCTGATAGCTTCCTGTTACAAATGTGTGAGCTAAATGAATTTATAGGGATGAAAATACTGACTTTGGACCACAGTTACAGTGCCCTCAGTCCGTGGCCATATGTTTGACTCCATGGCTTCTGGATTATGGTATTACAGTGCATGGGGACAGGAGTACATGACATCATGTCACCTCATGGGAGACAGAAAACAAAGATAGAAAAGGGGATGAGTGGACTGTGGTCCACACATCTTCAAGAGCCTGCTCCCAATGACCTAACTGTCTTCTAGTAAGCCCCACTTTTTAAAGGTTCCACTGCATCCCAGAAGTGCACCAGGCTGGTGACCAAGGCTCGAGCATGTGACTTCTATGGACCCTTAAGATCCAAACCAAAGTAATTCCTATCTCCAGACTTCAGTCATCCTTGCTGACCATGAAGTTCTGAACCAGGAACGGCCTTTGGAGAGAACTCTTTGGTCAGCTCTCTGTAATGCCACCCCTGTATGTGCCCGTCATTTATATACAGAAAATCATTCTTTCATCCATACCACTGAACTCCACACCCACACCATTATCAGACGTGGTGTCAGTACCGCGATTTCAGGGGTGTGTGTGTGTGTATCTTCCACTGAACTGGATCCTTGGGAGGAAGAGAAATTATGATTTATTTATGTCCTCAGTACAAGGCAGAGCACTTGATACATCCTAATACTCAGAACATGTTTATTGAAGTCATTAATTAGTGTAGACAGCTGGTGGGAAGCCGCCTCCCATAACACACACAGGCGCAGAACATCAGGCTAGGTGTGGAATTGGCTTAACGGGTAAATGAGTTAATTTATTAGTTCTTATTAGCTAGTTGCATCAATGGCATTACTGATGAAACTAATAAATTAATTCATCTACGTGTTAATCCAGCTCCATGCCCAGACAGCCCTGTGCCCTGTCTGGATGTGTTGCAGGAAGCAGCCTCTGGCCAGCTGTCTGGATTATTTGTGGAGTGCCCACAGTGAATGAAATGCCCCTGTCTCAATGTCACGGAGGATCAAAAATGAATAGGGCGTGAGCCCTGTTCTCAGCCCTCCCATTCTGGAAGTCAAATTACTATAGGTCATCACAAACATGCTGTACTTATAAGGCTGGAGTAATGTTATTCATTGTGAGTTATAATAAAACCCAACAGGGAAATCTAAACAGCCACTAGCAGGGATCTTAGTCACTGCATAGATCTTTTCCTCTGCGCCTCCAGGGGGCCATTAAGTGACACCAAGATTCTTAACTAAATGATCTGTGCTCCCCTACTCTCCTCCCCAGACACCCAGGACCAGTCTTTAATTTCCATGTTGTTTTTCCCCCCAAAGACAGGCAGTGTTGCAGTGTTTTTCTCAAGCTTCCAGGCCAAGCTTCTGTTCATTGACCCCTTCGAATCCAAGCTTGGTCTCCTCTTCTTCCCCCACAGGGCCAGCTACTATAGAAAGGGTGGGTGCGCCATGCTGCCAGTGAAGTGGATGCCCCCAGAGGCCTTCATGGAAGGAATATTTACTTCTAAAACAGATACGTGGTGAGTCTTCCCTCTGCCCTCCTCCAAGTGTCACTGTGACTTAGTGAGGATCTTGGACCAACTGGACCACGTTCCTCTGAGAGCTCTTGTTGCCAGGGAGAGGGTGTAAGATACAGAACAGGAGAGACCTTAGTGGGTCCCCTGGCAGGTGAGGAATGTGGGCAGGAAGCAGAATATACCATGCAAAGAGAGCTTGGGTATAGAGTTTATTTAGAGGGTATTAGGAGTTGGGGGGAGGGAAGAGAAAGACAGACAGACAGACAGACAGACAGACAGACAGAGAAAAAGAGGGAGGAGGAGAGGAGAGAAGACTGAGATGAGCTTGCCTTGGTAGGAAGAGAGAGATTAGGAATGGGCAGAACTTGTCTCTTAAAGGGACACGATACTGCCTGGGTTCATCCTGTCTGGTGACAGGTCAGGCCAGCAGAATCCTAACATTTCCATGTATCTTTCATCATAAAAATGTGGGGGAAATTAAAGAGGAGAGCAAGTGGGTCAGGGATGGGGCACCGGCTTCTCAAGACTGCTTCCTGCTGATTTGTGGCCGTTGAATTCTTGGGGGATCTGAGAAAGCTGGGATGCTGACCATGTCCTGGGGCATCTGGTTGTTTCAGGGCTGTCCAGGCTCTGTGGAACTATCCGGTGTCTCTTGGGCCTGGCAAGGTGCTGGCAGAACAGAGGTTAAGTTTAGGAAAAAAATATATTTCTTTCAGTTCTGGTAATTGAGAGAGAGGGTGTCAGGACCAGGGAAAGGTGGGAAGATTTGGGCTCTGAGGGCCTGTTAATTGTGGGAGGGGTACACATGACCTGTTTAAGGTGAATCCTCCAAGTGGGCTAGCTCCCTGGAATTTACAAGAGTTCTTTGAGTTTGTGAAAATGTAAGTTTTAGACACATAGATTATATAAACGGCAGTATAGTTATGCCAGAAATAACTGTGACAGATGTTTTTGCACAATGAAAAGTATCTTTGAGGTTTAGAGTTAGAAAATGACCAAAGAGAATTTAAAATCTTGATCTTGCAGAATCGTAGTAACAGTACTCTGCCAGAGCGAGATTAATAATTTATCAGAATTTTGATTAATGTTAAGACTATGAAGGGCAGCGTAATGAGAGAGAAATCTGAGTACTTGCATTTGTACACCTTACAAGACTTTTTAGAGCCTAAAACTTTCTTTGACCCTCACATCTTAAGCTTCGCATCATAAAACACCTTTTATTGAAACATGGTAAGACGTTATGCTGAAATCTGTTTTGTGAGGTTGTCCCTTTTAAACTGGTAAATCTTCCAGCTATCAAACAGCATCAGAGTTCTTGAGAAAGATAAAATTTTACCTGAGTTATTGATTAAAAAATGACAGAAAACTTACTTGATTGGCTACCTGGACAGCCACTCCCCAGGGTCTTCATGGTCATTGAGGGCAGGAACACTGGGGCAGCATTTGCCTTCTGCTGTTAGCACAGGGCCTGCCAGGCTTCAGAAGATCCTGTGGTTTAGGAGTCTGTAGGAAGACCAGCCTACCTTGCCCTGGGAAACAAGGCAGTTGATTCCAGTCTTGTCCACTGTCTGGAGATCTTCAGCAATTTAGATGAAAGACAGTTTTGCCCAGTGACTAGCGCTTTCACTTAATGAAGTGGGTTGCGGATAGACATTCTTCTGTACCAATGTATCTTCTTTGGAGGAAATGGGGTGGCTACCAGGAGTCAACCTGGCTCTCTGTTACAAAAAGCTTTTTAATAATTAAACATTTAGATGCCATGTTCTCCAGCTCTCTGGGCATTTGAGGGCTGTCTATCGAGTATATATGACTAGGCAAACTTTGTCTTTAGTTACTTGTCTTAAGCACACAGGTGGCTAGTTAAGGCTTTACCCCTCTAATTAATTGCATCAGTACCCAGCATGGCCACAATTAAAAAGCTTAGTCATTTATAAGATGACTCTTAACTTGTATTCTTCAATAGTCTACAACAGGTTGGCATAGTCCATAAGATTAGAACTTTACATTACATTCCTGTCAGGTTTAGCCTTAAAAGCAATGATTTTGAATTGAAGCTCCTTTATTGTCAAAATAAAACCTTTTAATGAGCTCAGAAAAGAAGTCAAGATAGCCATTTTGTGGGTATCAAACACATGCTGTTACTTATTTAAATTCTCCTGAAGCTTGGTGTTGAACCCTTGGCAGAGACATAAGTACTTAGCTTTTGTTAATCTGAAATATATCTTTATAACCTTAAATTTTTATCACCATGTAGAATACATTTTAAAACAGAGTTGAATCATATATACTGTATGTTGTAATAGATCTAGCCATATTTTTATCATCATTTAAGAAGTACATAACAATTTAAAATACTTGAGACTTATTGCTTTCTTAGTCTAGAAGGAGATGCAATGAACAGAGTTCATTAGGACTGCTTAAAACATTTTTTAACAGTAAGTACATGTACAAATGTTGAATTCAAATTGCATACACATATACACATACAGAGTTAAACCTAACTTATATTTGCACATAAAGTTAAGAAAGGGAGAGAGAAAGGAAGTGGAGAATCAAAGTCGAAGATTCCTAGCTAACAGATCTGCCTCAGGTGGGTGGGGTCCCTGCAATCTAGAAGAGCTAACAGGCATTAGGCAGTGGTCACGTGGTCGCCCATAGCAAAGATGGTGGTGAGGTGCCTCCTTGCCCCTAGACTAGATGGCAGTAGTCACATGGTCACCCATAGCAAAGATGGCGATGAGGTTCTCTGACCTGTCCTCCTTGCCCTTAGTCAAGATGGTGGCAGTCACAAGGCACAAGGCATGGAGAAACCACACGTTTTTTAGTGCAACCGCAGGAATTCCCTGCGAATTTTAAATGGACTCGAATAACAAGAGAGACATATGGGATGCATAAAGCATATATTTAAAACAGAATCATATCCATGTGGTCACATGCCATTCACACATTATTTCATACATGAAGTAGATAGAAAACTTCCCCAGCATAAGTTGCCAGTCCATAAGCGGGCAAGAAAGAGGAACCCGCAGCGGCAGTGGTGGCAGAGCCAGGGCTCCATGAAGAGTGGGCATAGGACAGGTAGAAGAGAGACATTTTTAACAAGAGAACAAAATAGAACGTTTCCAGGTGGAGAGAGGATCACCCTAAGAGAGGCTTAGCCGCAGTGGGAGGCGGCAGGAATCTGTCTGGGGGACAGAGCTTAGCATGGCTGGGTCACACGCTGGGAAGGAAAGGCAGACAGACAAGCAGAGAGAAGGGACAAAGAGCAGAGATCACATTTCCAGCTACCGATCGCTGCAGAGTGTTATAAGGGTGGGAGTGGTACCATTTCCATGAGTAAGATGGAAAGAGAAAGCCCAAGAGACTGAACTCCAGCATCCCATAAATTCAGCATGAACCATGGCTCAAGCTGGCTTTGGGTCATCACCTACAGGGTTCAGGGGTCATGAGACTGGGTGGGCACAAGCCATCCCCATACATCAACACTGAGGCGTGGAGGGGGGCGAAGGGTGTGTGATTGCCCAGTACTGGGGCTTTTCACCCTGGGAACCACAGCTGGGACAAATCCACACTCCTGGAAACATAGCCAGAGGTGGGGGAGGGACCTACTGTTAGTGCCGATGGTGTGTGAAATTCCAGCAGATAGACAGGGAGTTGGAAAGTGGGCAAAGCTTGCTTTTTAAAGCGAGAGGGTACTGCCTGGGTTTATCCTGCCAGGTGACAGGGCAGGCCAGCATAATCCTAACAGACCAGGAGGAGAAAGTCGCTGTGGAGGGGCTTAAGCGTGGGTGTTTATTGAAATGATCAGAACAGTTCCCTAAAATGCACATCGCAAGACCCCACTCTGAGAACTGATCTTTCAGGAGGGGACACAGGTGAACTTGAATTTCTATCAAGCTCCCAAGTAGTCCTGACTTCTCCAGTTGGGAGGCCACATGTCAAGACTTCCTTGTCATTTTAAGTGGCAAATTAAACTCCAGCCCCTTGGCAAAGCTTGAGCACACACACACACACACACACACACACACACAGAGAGAGAGAGAGAGAGAGAGAGAGAGAGAGAGACATGCACACACACATATACACGCATGCACACACACACGCATGCACACACATACACGCATACACGTAAAGAAAGTCTGTCGAATTACATTAAACCCCACAATAAGAAGAAAAACAGAAAGGGAGGGAAAAACCACTTAAAACAAGTTAGACCTGGGCAAGTTCATGGACAAGTTGTTCCTCACTTCAAAGAAGAGAAAAGTGTTGACATCCAAATCCACAGTTCGGATCCAGAACCAGGTTGCTCAGTCTTCTGAGGTTCCCAAAAGGCCCAGGAATTGAAAGTAGGGGTACAGCAAATAGGAAAATTGGTTAAAGGTCTAGTCAAGTAAGAACTAACAGAATTGTCTGGCTGAGCCCTCCACCCCCTTGAATCTTGGGGACTGTCCTTCCTCCGCCATCACGCTTAGTGAATCCCACCAAAGAAAGTCAACCAAAATCCCTCTGGTCTTGGTAGCAGCAGTGACATCAGCAAGACTGAGCCTCTCAGTCCTACCAAAAACAGCTTTCAAAGGCTACCTAGTCTAGGTGTGTCCTCCCTGCACCAAGAACACTGGCAGCCAGGCCAACAATGAGAGAACTCCTGGGCAAAGTGAGCACCGAGGCATAGCTCCCAAGTGAGGTTGCCCATGAAGAGTTAGACTAAAAAATGGTCTCCGGATCCTGAGGTTCTAATCCCAGAAGTCCACAATTGGTAGCTGATTCAATGATAATGTCTTAAGATGACTGTCTTAGGGTTCTGTTGCTGTGAAGAGACACTGTGACCATGGCAACTCTTGTAAAGGAAAACATTTAACTGGGGCTGCCTTATAGCTCAGCGGTATAGTTCGTTATCATCATGGCGGGAAGTGCAGCAGAGGCAGATATGGCGCTGCAGAGGTAGCTGCGCGTCCTACATTTGGATCCACAGGCAGCAGGGAGTGAGCCACTAGTCCTGGCTT